ATAGTATATATATATATATATATATATATATATATATATATATATATATATATATATATATATATATATATATATATATATACTTAAATTTAAGATGATATAAATTATAAGTTTGGAAAGTCTCTTAGGTAAAGCCCTTTATCCTTTAAAAGAAAATTAGAATGATATCAATTATAAAATAAACAAAAATAGGAAAAGAGGTGCATTCTCCGTGAGCATAAAATATGTGATATGCTATATGTAATACAGAAAAAATTTAATGCCATGATTGAAATCAAATAACATTATATTAATTTTTACGGTGCATACCTTTCGATGTCATCTGAAAAGAATCTGTATGTGATTTGGAGATGTCTTTATCCAAAATTGCTATCAATTTACAAGGATAACTATACTCTTTCTCTCGTATCTTCCTATCTTTTCAGGTGACCTCAATTATGGTGGTTGAGAGAGAAATCATAATCTCTCAATTGCATCCTGTACATTCGTCTTTATGTTTTATCTCATAATAAGTTATTATGAGAGTTCCTTCAATCAATGATGTCTCTTAATGAATCTTACCTTAATTGAACTTCCTTTCTATTAGGCAATAACTATAATCAAAATCCAATCATATCCATAATATATCTTACCTAATTAAATAGGATCACTTAATCTAATCTTCTCTAATATAATCAATAAATTTATTAGAAATATTATAAACTTGAAGAGTTATAAATAATAATAATACTTTTAAGGTCTAATTTGATCATAACATAATTTTTTTTTATCATTATAATTATAAATAGAGTGTGTGATCTCTCTAGTTATTAAAATAATATCATGAATATTTTTATCCTTAATAAAAGTAGATTATTATTTCGAAATTAAATCAGGAAGTAAAAGTTTAATTCTATAGATTAAAATGTAGTCAAAATCTTGTAACATTAAAAATTAATAATCATGAAAGAATTTTTTATCTTAGGAATAGAAACAAAAAACGTTTTAATCCATTCATCTATCCATCCATCCATCCTGTAAAATAAGAAAATTACCAATTCACCGTACACGTGGAGAGATCAGGTAGGCGAGTACCGTGTGACACGCTGCCACCAAAGCGCGTTCCACTTGGGCGGCCCAAATAGGTGTCGGCCAGCCGAACGGTCTCACCGCCACAAGCAACCTCTCACAAGCAACCTCTCACCGCCAGCCGAACGGTCTCACCGCCACAAGCAACCTCTCACCTCCACAAGCAACCTCTCACCAGCCGAACGGTCTCACCGCCACAAGCAACCTCTCACAAGCAACCTCTCACCTGCGGAGGTCTTTTCTTTATTACTTTCCTTACTCTCACCGCCACAAGCAACCTCTCACCTCTCACCGCCACAAGCAACCTCTCACCTCTCACCTCTCACCTCTCACCTCCCACCCAAAGAGATGTTGGGAAAATTATATTACTTTCCTTATTATTAATAAAAAGAAAAAAAGGAGGTCTTTTCCAACTTCCGCAGCGCCGTTCGCTCAATAAAGCCCAGAGGAAGGGGGCAAGAAAGCACGAAGAAGAAGCCCACGGAAGGGATAACGACGACGAAGCAAACTTCCGTGTCCCCTTAGCCCTCCTCTTTGTTCCTTCTATTATTCCTTCTAATCTCCTCCAATTTAGTCGTGGCCTCGGATTGTGAAGATTGATACCGGATTCGTTGTCGAGGGCGTGAAGAAATCCGGTGTTTTCGGTAAATCTTCTTCGTTCCTCTTTTTCGTTAGGTATTGATCTTGATTCCTTCAATTGTTGCTGCTAATCTCTGCTACTTCGTTCTGGTTATCTGCAATTTCAAGAACTTACATTCGATAGATGATGGTGAGATCATGGTTAATCCCCTATATTTTGTCCTCCTTTTTTTAATCCCCTATATTTTGCCCTCCTTTTTTTCTTCGAAAGTATATTAGAAGCGTATATGTTTGATGATCAACGATTTGTCTAAGGGAAGTTGTGATCTTGTTGAGATTTAACTTAGATCGTTAATTGTCCCTGCAAATCTGTTTATTGTTTCCTTTCTTGCAGGAGATTCCAGTTTTTCATAGGTTGGGAAGTTGATTAATCCGCTACTCTTTTGGTTACTTAACTAACTAGACGAGATAAGGTTTCTTCGAATCTTGGCTGTGTTAGGCTTTTCTACTTTTGCGGTTGTTTCTTCCAAGTTTTTCAGAGGTTACCACGCTATTTATGTGCATTTATTTGATGCTACTCTGCATATTTAAGAACGCTGATAAGATCTTGGACATTGGGACGTCTGTGTGTTGTAAGAATATATTAAAAGCTAGTACTTCTAATGGTAGTTCTTCCAAGTTTTCCAGGATTGATGGTATCAAGGGACTGCGTTCATGTGTCATGGTTTTGGAATAGGAAAAGCGAATATTTTTCTCTCAAAGCTTTCCATGTAAAGCTTTTGCATCTCTTGTTTGCTGCTAGAGCATTACTTGGCTGATTTATCTTCAGGGAAGGAGAGTATACATTTCTATGCCAGATATTGAGGGAATGAATCTAAGGAATGTTTCCCTATGGATAAGTTGAAGGAAGCAGAATAGCTCATCAATCCTTTTTAGCACTTATTTCCGGCGGTAACTAAACCCTTTACTTATATGGAGTATCTATATTTCAGATTGATTTGACTTCTTGGGTTCAAAACTTATCTCTAGCGTGTACTAAGAAGCACTAGCTGTATACTGATCTGCAGCTGTTATTTTGTTGATGTTATTTATGCATCACTTACAAGTAATAATCACAACTTTGACCTGACTATTTTGATATGTTGTAGTTAAGAGCATAAAAAATTAGCTTGTTAAGGCTGACCTTCCTGAATTGGTAGTCCAAATTATCAATGTTTTTTTTTGTCTCATCAGCGTCTTCCTGTGATCCATTTTGACTCCTTCAAGTAACATCTGTCAGTTTATTATTTTGCTTTTGTTTCTCATGACATTATAATGACTCTTAACAATTCCCCCCTATTGGTTTTTCCATACCTTCATTTTCTGCTACGAGTATCACCATAGCATATCCTTGTCAAAACATATGATCAACATAATTCACAATCCCTCAGTTCTTTTGAAAACCTCAATCAAAAGCATCATTGCCAATCCTTTAATTTGATTCCCACTTATGGCCGTGTTATTTCTTTGCATATCACAGCACTCGCTGGATTAACCTCAGTCTATTACATGATTACTGGATAGGCATATCAAACCTGGCATGTGACATGGTGTTATGACTGTTTGGAATACAATCAGTCTCATGCAAAGGACTAATTTAGCGACAGGATTGTCAGTTGCAAGACTCATTTGATGAATTTTTTTTTATCTTTTAGACATATATAATGACATATCTAATACAATTCCCTACAACGTTTTTGTCTGCATCACTTGGCATTTATAAGTAATCTTTGGGAGTCTCTTTATCTTAGTTGGTTACAGTGTTTCTGTCATCTCTACATTATGGTATATATGGGAGGACGATCACTTCTATTTTACAAACCCTCAAATTTGAACTAAAATTTGCAATTTATTTGCGATGTTTGTTTTGGATCAGAATGTTTTGCTCGATCCAATTTTACTTATTATGCATTTGGAAACCTGTAAACTGTTTATGACTCCAATGAGATTTTTTGTGTATGGTGCTTTTTCAGAATATAGTAGAGAGCTATCCCTGGTACGATGTTAATGTTCCCCACGGAATTAGTAGAGAGCTAAACCCCACGGAATTAGTTACTTCTGTTGAATATAATTTTGATACTTGCTTTATATTAATTAAAATTTGTCACCTTAATCTGTTTTTTATAATAACAATTTACATGCAATTATGGACACATTTGTGTTCAGTCTGTTTTCTTGATAGGAGCTAGAAGATGTATTCCAACAGGCGTCAAAGTGGAATTCAGCAATTGTCGGCTGCAGAGCAGGAAGCACAACGCATTGTCAATGAGGCTAGAAATGGTTATTTCTGTTAAAAAGCAGAGCTCAAATCTATAATATATAGCTTTTCTGTAAATGAGCTTCATATAGTTTTTCTATCTGATATCTGTTGGTTTTGGTGTACCTTGAATTTGCAGCTCGATGCATAAAACTATAATCTCAAATATTCAACCAGGAAAATATTTTTTATGATGATACCCTGGGACTGAGGATTTAGGGAAATATAATGCATATGGAAGGATATGTATATTGTCATTTCTTTCTTAGTGACTAGCTGCTAGCAGTCATTGGATTGCTAGATTGTCATGCTATTTGAGGCAATTGCTAGTGTGTGTCTTGGAAAAAGTGAACAATATGAAAACCAAACCTTCAGCTATGTCTGAAGACCAGCCAAAGAATCTTTCGTGCATGTTTTCTTTTCATAAATTAAGTTTAGTGTTAATAAAATCTTATATTTCATCGTGACAAATGCACTGAGGGTTTCTTGGATAAAGATATGAAATATTAGATGATTAGTGAAAAGAGAAAGGAAAAAAAATGTAGATTCTATTTGATTCAAAGAATCACTCTTAGGGATGAAGTTAGACAGGCTTTCTTTTTTATAATATTTCAATTTTCTTGTGGAGTTAAAATCATTAATCAAGTCAAATAAGCATGTGCCACTTGTTGCATAGAACTCATCGAAAAAGTTGCAACAAAATAAAGATCATTGAGACTGAACATTGCATAAGTGATAGCCTCTGAAAATTTAGGTATGCAAATTTCCAGCCACTTTTGATAGACTGAACATTGCATTAATCAAGCTTTACTTATTGTTACCCTGATTCCATCATTTTAACGAAATTTATTGAAGCTTCTAGTTTCGTTTTGTTTTGTTTTTTTTTTTTCTAGTTTCTATTTATTGGACATAAGTAGCATTGGAAAAAAAAAACCTCATTTCAGTTTAGGGCCGGCGAGTCGCCAGTCAGAGAATCGATCTGGGATATGCATGTGATGCACATGTGGAGTGGAATCATTTGTAAAGCAAGAAATGACTAGGAGCAATTCATATCTTATCAATGTTGCTATGTGATGCAAATAGTTGTGGATTTTTGGCCCACAAATCATCTCTAGTGTCGACCAAAAGAAAAAATAACTCATATCTTTACGTCACGTAGAGATGCATGCATGCATGCATTTGAAATTTGGCTTTCAGATGCATGTATTCAATTCTAACACTCATTTGGCTTTCAGATGCATGCATTCAATTCTAACATTAAAAAGAAGAGACTATGATTAATTATACCAATTGTAAAAAAAAAGGAAAGGAAATACTCTGATTATTGCGAAGAATTTGTATTTATTCGAAATTATTTTAAGAGGAGATGTTAGTGTACTGTTAGAATAAGCTAACACTAATCTTCATTAACGAATCAAAAGGGAAGCTTTCCGTAAGTACGTGCATGCATGCATAAGGTTGATTGACACCATGCAATATACTAATCGTTTGACTTGAGAGAAAAAAGGGGAGGGATTAAATAACATGGTTTATGTCTCCTCTCAGATGGCCTCATCGACGCCGATGATCAAAGTAATAATGCATCCCAATATCACGTTCGATTTCTCCATTATTGACTGCACCAACACTCAAACATATTATGAATCTTATCTATACCTCTCTCTTACAACTCATGCTGCTTCATCGTATATTACACAACTTAATTTATCTCATGAAACCATGGAAAAGGCTTATGCTTTCGAAGGTTTCTTTCTGGTTGTTTAACCCATGCTTAAAGGGCTGGGCCGCACGATGACTCATTCACTTTAATTAAGAATCATACAAACACGATTCCATTCGGGATTCCACTCTCAAGTATGATTTAGGAATCGAATTTCCTTCCCGCAACAGAACTAAAGGATTTAAGCGCTGAAGCAACGAGGAATGAAACAACTCTCGTAAGCGGAAACTCATGAATTGAGATTGGACTCTCGAGCATCACATATAAGATTGGATCCCGAAACAAGACTTGAGACAGCGGATTCTCTCGTCGCAAACTAAGATTCCACTCGATCACTTTCATTTCTGTTTGCTGCTTACCACTGAACCTCTCATTCTGACAGGAGAAACGTGCATGTAACAACATCTGAGAGGAGCACAAAATAATCACATCAAAGTGGAGGGAACGGGCGCCACCCAGCCCGTTGACCCATGAAACCAAGCTGGTTTTGGAGGCAATCATCGAAGAACTGAGTCGAACGAGGAGTAGGAGGAACTCGATGTTCCTCCCATCAAATGTATGGAAGTGGAACGTCGGTGGTGTGGTTGTTGACTAGAACGAGAAAGAGGAGGAGAAGCTTAAAATAGATATAGTTAAGAGCGTTTCTTTTAATTGTGCATTTAGTTAGATCCAAACAGAAGAGCGGATCAGCTCATGTCTGCTGGGCCTGTCGATCTCAATCCGTAACCATCGAATGAAATGATCCGACCCGTTTAATTTGACTGGCAGAATTATGGGTCGAGTATACAGACAGACCCGCTAGCAAGTCGGGTCGGATCTAAACACAACTTTAAACGTTTTAGGGGGCCTGAGGCGGTGAATAGGTTTTCTGTGAAATATTTAGCTTGTTTGGGGATCTAAACACAATTTTTAACGATTAGTTGGTCTTCATACTTGTGTCATTATCCTAAATTAGGTTTTCTGTGAAATATTTAGCTTGTTTAGGGAAACAATCAAAGATCATCATACGAGGTTGTTTCTCGTTTGAGAGATGCATTGCGTGTGCTTGAGTTGTCCGAGATGTCTAAGGTTTGATATGTTTTTGTGGTGTATGGTGACTTGCTATTTTGTTTCTTTTCATGTAGATATCTGTTTATAATTCGTTTGCATCCTCTTTTTTTTCAGATCTGAAAGTGAAATCACTTGGTCGTTGGATGTTTCTGCTTCTGTTTCTTGTCGTTCCGAACTTGGCTCAGTCCCAGATACTCTTCCAGGTAGAGATAAACAGATCCATTTCTTTCCTTCGTCCTTCATCGCGTTTACAGTAAGAGAAACGAATACGTTGCAAGGCTTCAACTGGGAGTCGTGGAGGCAGCAAGGCGGCTGGTATAACTTCTTGAAAGACAAAGTCTCTGATATAGCCAACGCTGGAGTCACCCACGTCTGGCTGCCTCCGCCCTCGCACTCTGTCGGCGTTCAAGGTCGTTCCGTGATTCGTATTTGCCGTCGTGATCACTCTCACATGTTGACCGAGTCGGCCTTGGTCTAAACTATTATGTGACACTTCTCCTCTCAGGTTACATGCCGGGGCGGCTCTATGACTTGGGTGCTTCCAAGTATGGGAATCAGGATGAGTTGAAGGCGCTGATCGGCGCTTTCCACGACAAGGGAGTCAAATGCGTGGCCGACATCGTCATCAACCATCGTTGCGCAGACAAGCAAGACGGGAGAGGCATATGGTGCATCTTTGAAGGCGGAACCGATGATGCCCGCCTCGACTGGGGTCCACACATGATCTGTAGGGACGACATACAGTACTCCGACGGCACCGGCAACCTCGACACCGGCGAGGGCTTCGCGGCGGCTCCCGACATCGACCACCTCAACACGCAGGTCCAACGTGAGCTCACGGACTGGCTGAACTGGCTCAAGATTGACATCGGCTTCGACGGGTGGAGGCTCGACTTTGCCAAGGGTTACTCCTCGAGCATCGCCAAGATCTACGTCGAACAAACGCAGCCAAACTTCGTGGTGGCTGAGATCTGGAGTTCATTAGCTTACGGAAACGATGGGAAGCCAGCATACGATCAGAACGGTAACCGCCAAGGGCTAGTTAATTGGGTTCAGCAGGTCGGAGGCCCAGCGACGGCCTTCGATTTCACCACAAAGGGAATACTACAAGTTGCCGTGGAAGGTGAACTGTGGAGGATGCGTGATCCCCAGGGGAAGGCGCCCGGCATGATGGGGTGGTGGCCGGAGAAGGCTGTCACCTTCGTCGACAACCACGATACCGGTTCGACGCAAAGGTCGTGGCCTTTTCCTTCTGATAAGGTCATGCAAGGCTACGCTTATATACTCACGCATCCGGGAGTCCCCTCCATCGTAAGTATGCTTCTGCCTAACATTCGATTCAAATAGTTTCACAGCCTGACGATTATATGTTCGTGCGTGCAGTTCTACGACCACATGTTCGACTGGGGATTGAAGGAGAAGATAACTCGGTTGGCTGAAACCAGAACACGAAATGGAATTCATTCGGGTAGCGCTCTCAACATTCTGGCCTCTGATGCTGACCTCTACATGGCAATGATCGATGGGAAGATATTGACAAAGCTAGGCTCGAGATACGACGTGGGGAATCTCGTTCCTTCCAACTTCCACGTCGTTGCCTCTGGTAATGACTACTGCGTGTGGGAAAAGAGATGAAGACGATGATGATGAATTATGGAAGAGGCTTTTCGCTTCTCTTTCGTTAACGTTTCTCATCTGTGTTGTAAGAAAAAAATATCGTTTCTCATCTTTGTAAATCTATTTTAGTGTGAAATCTTGGGTGCTGTTGTTAGCTTTAAATAAAAGATGGTTTCATTGTGATATTAAATGGAATCATGTTTACCTGCAATTCATCTATTTCTCATCTTTGTAAACTCACCACAATAAATCTCTAAGAACCCTATCGCTTCTCTTTCGTTACCTGCAATTCAGAACCCTTTTTTTTCTACAATAACAATATGCTTACAGAGAAATTAAAATCATGAGCTATATTATAAAATTTTGGTAAAGAATTATCGAAAATATGATAAGACTTAAAACAAATATCACTAAAAATCAATTTGATTTTATACTCGAAATATCAAACATAAAAACTATGTATTTATTAAAACAATTAATGAAAAAGTATAGAGAGAAAAAAAAATATATTTGCATATGGGCTTTATCATGGTTCTCCTTACTAGTCTGTATTGATGTATCGATTAGTTATCGGTACAATACATATTGAGCTATACCAACTTGTACCGAGTGTACCAACACATGGTACATAGGGAAATGCCGATATACTGCCCCTATCGATCCCCTGTCAGATTGGTATATACTACTCGTATCGAATGATATGCTACGGTACGATGAACATTAGGCTTTATTGACTTATAGAAAGCCTGTGATAGGGTTCTTAGAGATTTATTGTGGTGAGTTTTAGAAAAGAAAGGTATATTCACTAATTATATTGATATTATTAAAGATATGTATAATAATATAACTAATGGTATTAGAACTATAGAAAGTGTGTCTAGTGAATTTATTATTAATATAGGATTACATTAAGGATTCTCATTAAGTTCCTATCTTTTCACATTGATAATGGATAAACTTACTAGTCATTTACATAATAAACCTCTCCCGTAAATGTTATTTACTGATGATATTATCCTAGTTGATGAGAGCCTAAGTGAAATTGATTATAAACTTGAACTACAAAGATATGGAGAGATCGATGAAGATATTATTCATCGAATAACAATATGATGGTTAAAACGACATTATTCATTGAATAGCTTGATGCGCTCAATTTGCTACTTAATTGTGCTACATAGTGTCACTATTAAAATGCATGTGCAAGGAACGAAAGAACTCCATTTTAAATATCTTGTAACAAAATGACAAATGCATTAGAATCTTTTAGCAGCTTTCATTCATGCCATTCACATTATTTAGTTGTCATGGGTCTTAATTAGTTTAAGGTATTATTTAAAAAATTGTATAATGCAGCATATCAATATATCTATATATATTTATAAATTTCTTTCATTTTCGAGTTGAATCTATGGCTTTCATGTGTAAAAGTTGTTTTATCATTCATGAGCTTGGATTTCATTTTCTATCTGCTGGCTAGCCTTTTAGGGCTTTGGCCCAGTGCTCTCTTGCTTAATTATTCCATGGATAGGGGTTCACTATCACTTTTAGGGTGTTTTTGTTAGTCTGATGGCCATTAAATTTTGTCAAATCTTCTTTCCAAT